CTGGTGGCCGTGCGTATGCGAGACTGAGGGAAACTTTGCTTTCCTCCTCTCTCCGAAAAATTGTAATCACGATTCTGTACTCGGCATAGTGCGGGTGAGTCTTCTTTGAGACGTCGGTTGGCCTTGTGATTAACTGATACAAACACCAGTTAGTACCCAAGTTGACGCTAGATGGCCCGTGCTCGAATTATTAGAAATCGAAAGAGGAATAGCAAAGCTCTTGAAATATATCCACCCTCCTAAAAATTTTTTATAATATTTTGGTATCGATGTTGTGTAGGTGAGTTTTCTTTGAGACATCGGTTGGCCTTGTGATTAAGTGATACAAACACCAGTTAGTACCCAAGTTGCCGCTAGATGGCCCGGGCCCGAATTATTAGAAATCGGAAGAGGAATAGCAAAGCTCTTGAAATATATAGGATGATACACAGTGATTATTCGAAACTGCATTTCCATCAATTTTCTTCGAAGAGTAGCAAGTTTCTATTTAAATTTACACACAATTATTGTGCATTACCTAGCATTGGTGTATGCAACAGAGAGAGAGAGAGAGAGAGAGAGAGAGAGAGAGAGAGAGCGATCACGCGCATTAGTTTAATTGCGCATCGGAATACGTCCAAAGGCCCGTTTCCCTGTCGCATTTCGTACTATAGTTAAAATACTATAATCATACTACAGTGCAGAACATAATATATATTTCAAGAACTTTACCATTCCTATGGGCATGATTATTCATATAGGCTGACTATTGTCCATTTTTATGAGCTGAGATTTCTAGTAAAGTATTATCAATTAATAACTACTGTGTGTTACATTATGTATGTATTTGGTAAGTGGTAGCACAGTGATGGTCGATGAATTTATTGTAAAAATGGCTTGATTTAAAATCATGCAAACATACTCGATGTATCACGACCGAGATTCTCTAAAAATGTGGGCTCTTCATTAGTCCTTTCTTTTTTCGCCACCGAGACAATAACAAATGAACCGAAAGCATACGTGGTGTATCGTACATATACATTTCATCGCTAAATAGCTCGCGCGCACAAATATATGCAAAAAGAATACAAATATATACCAGGCCATGAAACAATGGCTGGCATTTTAAATTTTGGCATACATATTCGTTGCCATTATACTTTGCGAAATAATAACGCGAGCCAATTTTCAGGCTAATAAGGCGGCAGCAAATTTCGACAGCCCCCCGCTATATATATGCCACGCGGATCGTGACATAAAAATAGCTCCCCGCATATTGTATTCCGCTGCACACGCGAGAGATGCTGCTGCCGCTACACATTTATTAGATAAGATCGTGCACTGCAGCGCCGAGACTGTTATACGTACCATACGTACTATTAAAAGTATGACAGCAATAAAATTGGAGGGAAGGTGGCGCGCCTTATCTGCTGAAAAATACGCCGAGATAAAGGTAATTAACGAGCTTTTGTACGCCTCTGGAGACCGATTAACCGAGGCTAAATAGATTTTTGCTGAAAAAGGGACACACACACACGCGCGCGCGAACCACGTATATACGGCACGAAAAACGTGTATGGTACGTGTAAGATGACAAAGACGTACTCTTTTTTCTATCTCTCCTTTTTTTTTTAGCGAAGTCGAGAAAGGACAATCAAGCCGCCTTTATGAGAGGAGGTCGTCCCGCGCGCGCGCGACGGTCAATGCGCGCTTCGCTCCGTTGAAAAACCGAACGAGAAAAAATTGGAGTGAGAGAGAGAGAGAGAGAGAGAAAGAGAGCACGAGGGAGCAATTGGCCACTCGACATTTCGCGCGCTCACGATCCCAGAGGCATGATACGTCAATTGGCTCTACTACTCGCCCCGTGGACATGCTGATCGCGCGCTTCTGCGCTAACGAGCTGGTACACAAAATTTTGCTACTCGCGCGATGGCGAATTCGTCGTTTCGTGATCTAGCCTGCGCGCGTATATTATATATTGTCGTCCCTCGCGGCTGCATACAGAAGCTAAAAAATAAAAAAAATAAAAAAAAACAAAAAAGAAAATGACCGAGAGAGCATGGGGAAAAGCCCTTAATTGGGCCGGCTCGCGTAACAAAAAATGTATATCATCGCAAGAGAGCGGATCAAGGTCGCTCGCGAGAGAAACTTTATGAGTAACTTTAGGGGGGGCGGACGAGAGAAGCAATTAAGCTTCGTGCAGACTAGACAAGGCCGAGAGAGCGAACGATCGAAAAGCTTTTTATGACTTGATTACTCGAGTATGTATACTAGCCCACCCCGGTACTAGGAAACGCGACCTCGTAGTTAAAGTTCTCTCCCTCGGATAGGTCTATAATACGTAAGGGCAGTGTGTTACAAGTTATAAATGCATGTCGGGCCAGTTCGTCGACGAGAAACGCTGAATTTCGTCGGATATCGTGTAGCGAGGGGTAAAAGTTTTTCGAGGCTCGAATATTCGCGCAGGGGTCGGAGGATAATCGATTGCGTACATTTATTTTCATTTACGAACGTGTTGCGACACTATATCGAGCGATTACCAAGATATAGACTTGCATCGATCAATTATAATATGAAATGAATCTATCGCATTAGTAAGTTAAGTTCGACGAGGATTGATATAATTGTTTAAAAAAATTAGAGTCGGTTAGTTTTTTAATTTCCACAGACTATTATAAGCTTGTCGTATTCGTCCATCAATTGCACGATACATTTTATGTAGTTTGCTCATCGACACTAGATGGCGCGTCGCTAACCCCCAAGCGGTAAAATTCTACTTCGATGGGTATATAAAAGAAATTCGTTGATTGTTTTATTATGTACTGTCGGTTTATCGATTTTATTTAATTAAAGATTTTTCAACATATTAAAGTAAAAAAATCTATAAATACCTGTAAAAATATAAAATAATAGTTGAAAATACTTTAAACGTAATTTTTCTAAAACGTAAAGTTCAACAGTCGGATCTCTCTTAAAAATAATACATATTTTCGACCATCAATCCCGATTAAAGATAATATTCCTACGAATGTGGAGACATTTTAATAATGAATGATAGCCTAATAGACGTGTTTAACATTAATAATGACTTAATGACAAAAATTAATTGTTTATAAAATTTTTTGAAGTACATGACCAATAATTGGCTTGTTTTTGGCGATTTTTCTATTACAAAGTACTTCCACATAAAAAATTATATTAATGAAAGGGTTTGGTTATTAAAGGGAAAATTCGTATTTCATTTTAGAATTTCAAATTCCGTTTTCTTTAATGCATGCGAAACTCCTAAAAAACTTGAAGATTTCTAGAATTTCGTGTAAGATTACCTTGCTACCGAACCTTGTTACCGTACTACTTACTTTTATCTTAGCCAAAAGGCCAAGAAAACAAACACACACACACATCCATACATACGGACATTTGTTGAGAATTCAATCTAGTTTACAAATATGTAAACCAAATTGTCCTACGAGGTCTGGTTCAAAATCTCGTTTTCGAGCCTATCACAGAGCTTTCTCTATGAGGAAATCATCAAAATTGTGCTTCAGTGTTTGTGCAGGGTGACTTAAGGGTTGAACCAGCACCCCCGAGGTTGTGACCGTAACCATTGATGTTCTGGAGAAGTGTACGCGACCCTTGTGCTGTAACTCAATCGGTACGCTCTGAATGTTGCGAGAACCGAGGTGCACTTCTTAAAAATTTATTTAAAATGTCAGAAAACGTAACAGAAGAAAAAATTTAACACCCAAACTATACAAAATGGCTCATGGAGACAGTTGTATCTCACTGAATGATCAAAATTTCGAAGTTTCGAAAAATGCAATGAAAAAGGAACAAAAAATCCTTCTCGAAAATGAAATAAAAATTTATTCGATTTTAAGCTACCTTTGAGCCCTTAAGGGGAGGCTCTCATCTAGCGCCTCAAAAATGACATGTTTTTCGTGATTTTTTTTTTCCGGGGAAGGAAGTGAATAATGCAGTCAAATTTTTTTGGTACTTATAAAGTATGTATTCAACTATATTTACAAATTTTTTCAGACCAAAATATCGAATTATTTATCGCCTAGCAGCGTTTGATGGAGGTCTCGTTAAAAAAAGGTACCTCAACGGGCGGCAAGCTAGCGCCTTCAGTTTTTGCCCGAAACTAAAAATGCGAAGTTCCTCTTAAACTAGATGACATTTGCTGGAGGTTGAACCTTAATAATTGCAAAAAAATTAAAAATTGATAAAATGGCGGACTTCGGAAAAAAAAATTTGCCCTTTTTTGGCTCTTTTAAGGGCTGTAAAAAGTAATAATAATGAAAAAATTAAAAATTTTATAGGTTCAACCTCCAGACAATTTAAGTAGCTTTAAAATAAAAAAAAAGCGTATCTCTAAGTGCAGTACTTTTCGAGATATGTTTCCGCCCGATTCAGAAAACATAGTTTCGAGAAAAACGCGTTTAAAGTTTTAGAAAGTGAATGTACATACATACATACATCGTTCCCTCGTAAAAAGACAGCTTCGGTTTTTTGCCTATAATTTTTTAATTAAATCGATTTTGATAGAAAGGGTTTCAGGAGTGTATTCTACGGGACATTTGCTATCTAAGTAAGCAAAAAAAAAAAAAAAATCGATTTTTTGATCGAGTCTCATGAGAGCCTCCCCTTAAGTAGCCAAGGACAGAAATACTTCATGGCTCATATAGCTACTAAGGTACAGCAAGTTAGGTGCTGCGATGCAGCCAATAGCACAATACAACAGCATACATTGAATATAATAAAAAAATTAGTAAACATAAAGAAAAGATGGACAAAGACAGATTAAACTTCCAGCACATGCTGCCGCAGCAATTTCTTGAAGCTAGAACTTCTGAGGCATCTTCTGATATTGCAAGGCAGCCCCTTCCACAGACGCGCGAGAAAGTGATATATAAATGAAAATTCCTTATTAAATTCTTAAACTCTACGTATTTTGTTTCTTAACTTATGATTACACATCCTATTGGAAACTGAATTGAACTGTGAGATGTTTACGTCACCTAATTTCAATTTTCAAGTCATGGTTCGTAAATATTATTGAATTCAATAAAAGTGTGTTTAGAAATCAACACTAGTACAGAAAGATTAGTCGTATATGAGAATCTTACAGAATAAGATGGAAAATAACGGTTCATCCGACGGTGCAGACAGGTAAAACTCAAATAAAAATACGAGAATATAACATAAAACATGACTGTATCGACATTATTACAGGACAAGAGAGGAAGCTAGTGAGGTGCCGCTTATCGTCAATGATCACAATGTGATTGATGATTGGCTCGATACTAACAATAGTCAGCTGTCCCAATTTCAGCAACAAAATAATTCTGTAAGAATTTATTATTTTAACAGACCAGTATTTCTATTATTTCTTTATAAACTATTTCATATTTTATTTCGATTTTCTGACAGACCTATACGCCTCCGGGAGTCTCATTGGACTTAACGGAATTTTTGTTGTTTCGCCCAAGGCCTGGTCCGAATTCACTAGCAGTCATTGAGGACGACTCGCGGAACGACTCACGGGAAACAGATTTCAGCGGAGATGGTTCCACTAGAAACATTATTAACACAGAAACTAAAGACGTAGAAGAAAAAGTTACCGAGGGTGATGCAAATGAATTGGAAACGCAAATCGACAGCGAATCCGTCAAGGAAAATGAAATAGGAACGAACACTGTTATCTTGGACTCAGACGTACCGACGAGCAATTGGTCGCCCGGGGATCCCCGACCATCGACGTCGTCACTCAACTCGATGCCGCGCCACAACTCCTTCAAGTCCACCACGACGAACAATAGCAACAGTCGGAGTGCCCAGGACAAGCCCTACCCCTGCGACCTGTGTGATAAAAGCTACACCCGAAAATACGATCGTACGCAACACATGCGCGAATGCACCGGGAAGGGGCCCTACCCCTGCGACCTGTGCAATAAAAGCTACACCCGAAAACACGATCGTAACCGACACAGGCTCACCCACAACGGGAAGAAGCCCTACACCTGCGACCTGTGCAATGAAAGCTACGCTGACAATCGCAATCTTAAGCGACACATGCGCACCCACACCGAGAACAAGCTCTACACCTGCAAACTGTGCGATAAAAGCTTCGCCCGAAAATATAATCATACGCTACACATGCTAACCCACACCAAGAACAAGCTCAAAAACCCTTGCCCCGAATGCGGCCAACAGTTCATCACGTTCGAAGAAATGATGAACCATCGGCTCATCCACACCGTCCAGAAGCCTTACAAGTGTCAACTGTGCGAGTACGCAACCCATTGCAAAGATGGGCTCAGCAGCCACATGAAGACTCACTCTACGGACAGAGTCTTAGGCTCGTCGTCGTCGTCGTCGGGAGCAATCCCAGCAGAACCTGTTCGTCAGGAGCAGCCCGAGGCAGCCCAGGCTCTAATCGAACTCGCCGGCAACGAGACAATTTTGCCTCGAGACCAAATTGCACCACAAGTAGATCAACACGAAATGTCGCAGCCAGACCACGATGGTGAACCCATTGAACCAAGGTATCACCTATACCTGTGATATCTGCGGAAAGACATGCACAAAAGAGTGATCTCAATAGGCACGTACGATCATCGACACAAGGTATCACTCAAACCTGTGATGCATTCGGAAATAAATTCGCGCATCAAGTCACTCTCCAAACCCACATAAAGCATTTACCTTCACGCTGCGAATGGAAAGAAATTTAAAAAAACCAATCGCCAAACTCATATTAATTCGATGCAAAATGGTATCACTGATAAGTTATTTTATGTGCGGATAGACATTGACACTGGGAGGAGCTCCGAAAACTCAAATTTTTTTTAATGATGAAGTCTAATTTTTCCATTTAATACTGAGGGGGACTGAAGCCTCTTCTTAAATTTTTTTATGATTTATGTATACAAGATAAAACGGACTGTGAGAATAATTTATAGAGCATGTAAACAGATTATGTATAGAATATGTAAATTTTATAGAACATGTAAATTTTCAAATCTATTAAATACTAATTGCAATGTAAGGTTTTAAAATCTAATTAATTTGCTCAAAAACCTGGTCCATAGGTTTTATTCAACACGATATTAAAATTTCTTCAAAATTAATAAGTATGTTATCTGATTTATTATGTGAAAACAACATCTAATTTTGATTTATACTATTGGAATGTTCCTCAAGTAGAGTAACTTACTGTTTTCTCATTAAAAATTATTTTGTTCTCAAACTACTAACAAGTACTAACTGGACATTTATTTTAAAAAGTTTTTCAATTTTTATCATCAGCAACAATGTGTATTATAAAATTGACAATTGACAATTCAAGAGGTTTAGAAAAATTACTATTTAGTTTAGAGTTTAGAGTTCATTCGTTTAAGGGCTCAAAAGAGGCTTAAAATCGAAAAATTTTAATTTGATTTTCGAGTAAGATTTTTTATCCTTTTTCCATTGCATTTTTTGAAACTTCAAAATTTTGATCATTCAATGAGATACAGCTGTTTTCGTGAGCCATTTTCGTATACTTTACATGTTAAATTTTTTCTTCTTTTGCGTTTTTTGTTTCAACAAAGTGCACCTCAGTTGTCGTAACATTCAGAGCGTACCGATTCAGTTACAGCACGAGAGTCGTGTACACTTCTTCAGAACATCAATGGTTACGGTCACTACCTCGGATAAGACGACCGAACCATTAGGTCATTTTCAATCAGTAGATTCATGATAGAGGTCACAAAAAAAACGTAAAATGAAAAAACCGCTGCCAATTCATTGGCAAAGTGCTTCCACATAAAAAATTATATTAATGAAAGGGTTTGGTTATTAAAGGGAAAATTTGTATTTCATTTTAGAATTTTAAATTCCGTTTTCTGTAATGCATACGAAACTCCTAAAAAACTTAAAGATTTCTAGAATTTCGTGTAAGATTACCTTGCTACCGAACCTTGTTACAGTACTACTTACTTTTATCTTAGCCAAAAAGCCGAGAAAACAAACACACAGACACATTCATACATACGGACATTCGTTGAGAATTCAATCTAGTTTACAAATATGTAAACCAAATTGTCCTACGAGGTCTGGTTCAAAATCGCGTTTTCGAGCCTATCACAGAGCTTCCTCTATGAGGTAGCAATTATTAAGTACATTTTAAATGACCTGAAAATAACAATTTAATTATACAAAAATATTGAGACTAAATTTCAAGTTCTAGAATTACGATGATACTACTTTCAGTTTCCGCCGCTAGATGGTGAATATCTTAATTTTTAAATCTGAAAGTGGTAAAGTCAAAATAAGTGTATAAGTCAAGTGCAGTTTAAAAAAATAAACGAATTTATATTGTTCGTTCTTCACCTTACAGCTTAACTTGTTGTACATGAAAAAGAGCCAATTCGGCAAACTGCACGCGAATGCCCTGACAAATTGAAAAAAACATTTTCCAACATTTAGTTTTCGCGTTAATTTAGTAACGTTAATTTACAATTTTTCGTCTTTAACAGCTTTTGAGAATTTTGATTAAAAAAAAAGCAAATAATAATGATAATAACAGTCATAAAAATAAAGTATCATTAAATGAAGCTAAATTGTTGAAAGAGCAAACTTAAAGAGAGGTGGCGAACTCGGTAATTTTTCAAGAGACGACTGCAACCATACCGAGGAGTAAATTTATTCCTTTCGGTGTTCAAGCGAAAAGGGACTTATGCTGCTGTTGTAGCTTCGCGAAGTTGGCGAAGGACGCAGTCTGCATCGTATAGTTAATCGAAACTTCTCGAGACAGGTGCAGACGGACGCAAGCTCGTTTTTACGAGAGAATGAAAATTGTTACTAAGATCGTCTGGTAAGTATTCACTTCAATTAACGTATAACACCATTTGTGGATTACTTTAAATACGGTAATGATCTACAGATCTTACTTAGACTACTTTTATGTAATAGCTTACCCATAAAGAAGCAAAAAAAAAAAAAGATTTAAGGGAAGATTGGGGATGAGCGAGGATAATGGCAATACAGCGGCAGTTTATGGAGACGCTACATTTTATGTATAGGAAAGCTGTGGGATCAGCTATTTTTCAACTACATACAGAAATGTGTCCTTTCAACGAAAAAAATGTATCATTTCGTCAAAGCCCGCATCAGTCAAGTCATGCGCGAGCCGCGCGCTTCGCGTGCCTACACGCGTGATCTGATTTTTTGAAAATGAAATGCTAGCGCGCTTCAGAAAAATAATATCGACTCTCTCTCTCTCTCTCTCTCGCGGTGGCGGCGGCAAGCACAAAATACAACACACATTTTTATATGTAATAATATTGAGCGCGCGCGGGGAGTATAAAAATCGAGAGACAACGTCGTAAAAAGTAACGTCTCTCTCTCTCGAGCGCACCGCTGCCAGCAGATAGTCAATATATATATGTATAAAGAGAAGTTAAAAGCATGCCCGAGCCTTTGGCAGATTTTGCAAAGTGCCGCGGCCGCGTGTGCTGCTGCCTTTTTCTCTATCTATCCTATCTCTCGCTCTTACCGCACCGTGTCGTCGGTAGAGAGAAAGAGATAGACGTTATCCGAGAGACCGAATAAAATCCCTTGAAAGTACACACGCGGCAGCGGCGGAAGCCTTGATCTCGAGACCGCGAGAGTACGTGTGTGTGTGTGTGTGTGATTTTTTTTTCGAGCGATAATAGAGTAGCGAAAGAGAGAGAGAGTTCGCTGCTTGACGTCAAGGTTCCAATTCGATTTGCCAAATTTATCTCTGACTTTTTCTCTCTGTACGTTTTTTTTTCTCTCTGTAAAATCGTTGACAGGCAGCAGCAGCAGCAGCAGCAGTAGTTGTTTCGATGTGAAGCTTACAGACAGCATTGAAATGTAAAACTTTTCAACGAGAGATGTGTGTGTGTATGTGTGCAGTGTGCTACGAATTTATTCCTCGAAAGCTTTACAAATCCATTCGAGATATAATAAATTTCCGATTCGAGTTCTGGGCGCTCCGAGTGCACAGCTTATGTATAGGTAGATAATGTAATGCGTGTATAAAGATGAATCGATATATGCACACACACACATTCATCCATTGAAATTTCATCAATTACCTACAAAAATAAAGCAGCGGAAAACGAGCGAAGAACCTCGCCTCTTCCTCATAATATACCATTGTAAATTCAATCCCTGCAACGCGTGTTCAACGCGTACATATCACTACTGCGTTATACGTTCGAGCCTCCACCCGCGCGAGCAGTAACAGATTATACCGTAGCTGACAATGACAGGACACGCGAATAGGTGTAGGTATGTGTAGATGTTAGCTCGGAGCTACAAATCTTATATTTTAATTCTAAGCCCGCCGCCGCCGCACAGCGATTGCTCTTCGAAATTATGAAAAAGGAAAAAGGGAGCACGTACGATTCGTGAGCTGCTGCGCGCGGAGATTAATGTTTTAGGATTCGGTATATCGATATAGCTGGTGCAACGAAATTGCGAGCGCGGTAGCAGCCCTTTATAAATATAAAAGGGCGGCAGGATCAACAAACGTGACCCAGAAATTTCTTTGAACCGCGCGATCGGAATTATCACTGCTCGTATAAAGCTCACGGGTTTTTTCATTCACATGGACTTTATCCTAAACATACTAATAATAATAATCATTAATACATTGAAATAATTTTGAAACATCTACGAGTCGCGCTCGAGGTCAACACATATTGCGCGATATAAATTAAACGTCAACTAATTATAAGTCCTGCGCGCGCGCACAGCTCGGCTTTCGCCGTATATTAACAATGAATTGAAAACAAAAGTCTATTTATTTTTCTTCCTTAATTAAATGTAAATCAAAAGCCACCGGCGCGCCGCCACGGTCTGCTGGGGATGATTTTACAACGATAATTACTCGCGCTGGGTTATAAGCCCGGTGAAGAGAGGATGAACGAGGAGATTTGTTGATATAATCGACGTAAAAAAAATATATAGTTTTTGAACTCTCTCTCTCTCTCTCTCTCTCTCTCTCGGGAGCTTGAGGAAACAAACTTCTAGAGTCTCTGACTCGTTGCTATATACTTACTTCTCTCTCTCTGTTTTTTAAGATTCCGATCGAGAAAAATATACACACTTACGCTCGCGGAGAGAGAGAGAGTTGACGTTTCGCCGAAGGAATTTAATGCGCGTCGCTGAGAAAAAAAAACTCTTATACCCCCTGCTCACGAGATCATGAAGTACAGCAGCAGCGCGATATTATACAAAATTCAAGCCTCGAGCATCTGCCTCGAGTTTTAATGAAGTTTCTCTCTCTCTCTCTCTCACCCCCCCCGCCGCCGGAAACTTTATCCCTGCGCCGCGCGGTATTGATACTTTGCCTTTCCATCTTTCAGTTATACGCGTGTATTATATATACACATTCCTGAGCCGCCGCCGCCGCATTAAGTTTTGCCGTCAGCCACTAACGCGATTTAACCCAAACTAAAACACGAAGAGCCGCACCAGCAGCATCGCCACCGACGTCGCCTGCCAAGCCGTATATATATAGTTAATATGCGATATAAGGGATAATATGACAGATCGCTGCTCGCGTTAAAACTTGTGTTGCGTTCCACTGTTATATGTATATAGTGCGACGCGACGCGCCAGCTGCGGGATGGCACTCGAGCGAAGGCCGAAAATGACACCCGTTACATTGTCCATGTACACGATACGGCGTGGCATCGATATTCCATCATCGCGTTAATTTTATCGACTCGATGAATAAATTGGCCTTAGTTTATTATTTTACACGTCGGACTCCCCCCTTTTTATTAGCATAAATATACTGGGCATATAAAGTACAAAAAAAAAAAAAATGAAAAAAAAGAGAGATGTTGAGGCCAGTTTTCCACGCGGCGTAAGTTTACAAAATTTATGTTATCGCGGCTCGTATTATTAAGCAGTGGACCGCGTAAAGCTAACACGCAGTATAATATGCATGCATGTATGCACGAGGCTGGTTAAACTTCGGTGGTTAGAGGCCGGCGCGCACAAAGCAGCGCTATAGCAGCGCCGCAGCAGTTGCGCGGGTTGAAATTTTTATAACCGTGTTAACGTAAAACATAGTGTAAGGTCGGGTTCCAACCAATTTCAATAAATTTTTTCTCGAACGTGCTGCTGGAGAAAAGAGTTCGAGACTTTGGCACGACCAGCAAGTGTTTACGAATCATTTCCGTGGTTCATAAAGTCCAAGTCTGTAGGTATGAGTACTTGGAATAGAGGGACTGCTTTGGCTCCTCGTGGCAAATAACCTCAAATATTTTTGCGCGGGTATAGATCGTAAACATTTCGCAGCGTGTATCGTGAAAAATTACAGTGAATACATATATTCGAGGAAGTGATGGAAGGCAACAGTGACGTAGTTAGGTATAATATTTTTGTGTATCACACTGCCATGATTATTTTTTGATCGATTTCTTATAAGATTCGATTGTTTTCAGGGTGAAGGAAGAACCGAGCAATACTTGGATGGACGCAGGTGACGATATTGCTTTCGGTTCGATGGTTACTTGCAAAGTCGAAAACTCCGAAACATCGCCCTTTCTCGAATTTCCGGTGAGTTGAATTGTTTTAATTATGTTATATTAATCGACTATTAAGAACTAGCCTCTAATTATTCATTTCAGGCAAAACAAGCGAATGAGCCCGTCGTTAAAACAGAGAGGTTAGAGGAAAAAATATTTATCGATTTGGAATGCAAGAATGTTAAGCCAGAACTTTCTCTTTTATCTACTACTACCTTCAAAACTGAGTTAGAAAATGTTCAACCAGTTGGGAAAGAAGGAAATGAAAATCGTCGTTTAAAGCTACCCGAAAATGAAGACCTGAAACGTTTTGAAGAAACTGCCGGGAAAGAATTATCGTGCAAGTCAAAAATGTGTCGAAAACCTTATACAGCAAGAGCGAGTCTAAAAAAACATACGAATACGATTCATAAAAGAATTAGACTGTATAAATGTGAGATATGCAATGAATCATTTTCCTGCGATACAGACCGCAAAATTCACTTAAAACAGGTACATGATCGGAACAAACCTTTCGAGTGTGAAATTTGTCACAAATCATACAGAGCCAAGGGTTACCTTAAAAATCACATAAATACTGTACACAATGGTATCAAATCCTTCGAATGTGAGGTGTGTCATAAATTATTTGGTCAAAAAGCTCACCTCAATGTTCACATAAAATCAAGACACGATCGGAGTAAACCCTTCAAATGTGATATTTGTCAGAAATCATTTTCAATTAAGAGTAATCTCTATGTGCACACAAATGCAGTTCATGAATTTAGAAAACCCTTCGAATGTAAGATTTGCCCTAAAACATTTGGACACAAGTATGATCTGAAAAAGCACATAAATGCAGCACATGATCCAAGCAATCTCTTCGAATGTGATATTTGTCGCAAATCATTTGGACACCGTAGTAATCTCAATGTTCACATAAAATCTGTACATGATCGAATCAAACCCTTTGAATGTGAGATTTGCCATAAATCATTTGGATACAAGAGTGTACTCGATAGACACATAAATGTATCACATGATCGTAGCAAATCATTTGAATGTGAGATTTGTCACAAATCATTTGGACATAAACCAAACCTCAATAGACACGTAAGTGCAGTACATGATCGAATCAAACCCTTTGAATGTGAGATTTGCCATAAATATTTTGGATACAAGAGTACACTCGATAGACACATAAATGTATCACATGATCGTAGCAAATCATTTGAATGTGAGATTTGTCACAAATCATTCGCAGAAAATAGTTACCTCAAAAAACACATAAATGTAATACATGATAAGATTAAACCCTTCGAGTGTGACATTTGTCATAAATCATTTGGACAACGTAGTAATTTCAATCAACACACAAAAATAGTACATGATCGTAGTAAACCCTTTGAATGTGAGATTTGTCATAAATCATTTGGAGAAAAGAGTTACCTCAAAAGACACATTAATTTAATACATGATAAGATTAAACCCTTCGAGTGTGAAATTTGTCATAAATCATTTGGACATAAACCAAACCTCAATAGACACGTAAGTGTAGTACATGATCGTAGTAAACCCTTTGAATGTGAGATTTGTCACAAATCATTTGGAGAAAAAGGTCACCTCAATGTTCACATAAAATCAGTACATGATCGTATCAAACCCTTTGAATGTGAGATTTGTCATAAATCATTTGGTTGTCAGAGTAAACTTGAAAGACACGTGAAAATAGTACACGATCGAAGCCCGCGCTTCGAATGTGACATTTGTCACAAGTCATATGGTCGCAGAGATAACCTTAAATCTCACATAACGAAAGCACACGCTTTTATTGTGATATAGTCACAAGTTATATAGTATCAATCATACTTTAACAGCTCACACAAATACATATTTAATTATGATTATGTCGAATATTTTATCAAATTAGGTTTGAACCGGTACATTTAGACATAATAAATAAGGTTTCACAAGAGTATCGTAATAATTGAAAGATTTGACATAAATATTCGTTAATCTTGTAAAAAACTTTGCTTTTTTTTGTACTCAAACTGAGATAAATTAAATTACACGTCTTGGACGTAGGTTTTTCAAAAATTTTGAATTGTTTTTTTTTCAATCATTTAATAGTTTTTAATATCATTTTTTCGAATCCTAACGGATTTTTCTCTTCTTCCTGCGTTTCCTATGCTCCTATGCTCCTTACACGAATTCTAAGGATAACACGTAACGCAAAAGGGTAAAAATTTAAAGGCGGCGCATAAACACCGTCTAAGTGGAGGATTCGAAAACACGGTAAAAATGCAACAGCGAAGGAACGAGCGAACGAACAGGAAGAATAAAGAGGAAGAAATAGAGCAAGGAGAGGATGGTATATACAGCAACGAGAAGAGGGTATGTGTAGGGAAGAAAACGGATAGCGCGACGTGCCCCGCATGCGTACCGAAGCCAAGCAAAGTGTGTGTCCGACTAATGTCGAGTCTTTACTACTGCGCCGCGCCGCTCGTGTATACAGCCGAAGGCGGGGAGGAGATCTGCCACACGCGGGCACACACAGAGCACAGACGTTCCATTATAGTCCACTTGCTGAGCAATCGGCTTACGTGTATAGCTTGGATTTATTTCTAGTTTATAAAAGGTTAATTGAAAAATCTTATTGCGACTTTTCTCGAGCCTTTTTTCGATCGATCAACGCACTGTTATACGAATTCGATGTACGTATTCTTCTTACGTTTAATTAATTTAACCGTATACCCCCCAACAAACCTCAGAAGCCATAACGACGAGCGTTAAAAGTTGAAAAATGTTTTTCGCGTCGCTCTCGAGCACCAAGGATCGCCTAGCAGGCAGGCAGGCAGGCAGGCTCAAACGACTTGAAAAATGGCACTCCTTAATAAATTACCTCGCAGCTGCAGGGCACTGGTAATCCAAACATGTCTCTTTTAATTGCTGCATTCGAGCTTTTCTCTCTCTCTGTAGGTGGCTTTTGCCTGGGCGCTAAGGCGCGACAACGTACGAACTGGACCGAGTTAATACCTCTACGCGCCGCGCGAGCCGCTTTACGACCTTTATACACACATACATTATATTATATAATATATATATAATTATATTCTCGGGCACGAGGTGGCCGTTGGCGGTGGTGGTGGTGGTGGTCACGCTCGCTCGCCTCATATTATAAATCCAACGCGCGACTATAGTCCCCTCTAACACACAAAGCTCTCTCTGTGTCGCGCGAATCCCAGTCTGGAAATCATGCTTTGTTGACCTTTACAGCGCGACGGCAGCAGTCCGCCGCCCTTTTTTTTCTTTCTTTTTTTTCAGAGAGCTGCTATTCTAGCTGCTGCTGCTGCATTCGTCGTGCTCTCGTTTGTGGATCGTTTCAACTGCGCCGACATTTTTCTCGCAGCTCTCTACCTACGTTGCAGTAGGTCCGAGATTCAAAATGTTCGCATAAGCCGTAATTTTGACGAATTTCTCATTAGACTAATGATATCCATCCGACGACGATTGTTTGCGAAAATTGCTACTCGTATATACGAGAGCACGAGAAAATTGCAGTGGCCACCGGAAAATTCTGCACTCGATACTATACATTCGAGTCAAACGTTGCTGCCCGCCGCCGCCGCTTTATTGAATAAATGAGCGCGGGCGGGTTGGTCGGCGGCGCGTGAATCCAGCCGTGAATTTTTGATCGAAGCGATCGATGTCTGCCACACCGCTGTTCTCTCTCTCTCTCTATTCTCAACGGGCTTTCCCATTTTTCCCCCTTTCCGAACATCGCATCTCGCGTCGCTGGGGACGACGACGACGACTGACTGGCTGCCATAGTAGTAGTATACTTTTGACTCTTTTGTTGCACACATTGCGCGTGATACGCACACACACACACACAGATACACATACACAGAGAGTATAAGCGGCCAACACAGAGCTCCAGAGCTTGAGTAATACACTTTGTAATGCCGTAGCCCGCTTTGTATATACACTTTATAATACCGTAGGCTAGGCGGCGGCGGCGGCGCATTCACGACAAAAGTGTCTCTTGGGTTTCGTTTGTTCGTGCGTATATACACACACAGCCACCCACGCGCGCATAGTAGCTTTATATATATACTGCACATAGTCGAGCGAGTCGCACGACGTATACACACACACGCGCGAGCTCGTGAATAATCAGACTTTTCAGGACTCCCATGCACGCAACCCCCCCATGAAATATATAAAAGGCCGCTTAAACTCGGGGGCTCGAGCGCAGAATTATTATGTTAAATATTTACTCGAGTAATAAGCTTGATTCTTTTTCAGCAGTGGCAGTAGTTTCGGATATACCTGCCTGTGCCTGCCTGCCTGCCTGCTTAAATTTCATGACTGCACCGCCCGGGCAAAAGAATATAAATATAATGATTATATGTGATATTTTTTTTACTCTCTTTCGCTCACTCTATTTGGACATGGCTAAATCTAAAAGTGATCGAGTACTGCAGCGAGCGAGGCGAAGCGATCGAGTCTTTGTGAGTCGACCAGCAGCAGCAGCAGCAGCGAAAGCAATCGAGTAAAACGAGAAATCTGTTTCTAAAAACCAATGAAAAGCTCCGCGCACATGAAAGTACATGATTCGGAAATATATATAGTGTATAGAGAGAGATCGACTCACTTTATAGGATATTCAATGGATTCGCCTTAATGGATTTCTCCCGCGGATGTATTATGCGGAATATGAATTTTATGCGTTTGTATGAATTTGCGAAATGAACGAATACGCGATGTGTACCGTTGCTAGCTACGAGCTTGCGCAATTTTTTTTTCAATTCATTTCCTTATCTAAAATATACATATAATATACACAGAGAGAGAGATGGAATTTAAAATTATAATGGCGCATTTTTGCCGTAGAGGAAGTTTGCTGCGAATCGCGCGGCATTACTTCTTCTTTCACCCGGTAATCATCGTTCGGAAGCTCGAACGTGGGGCAACGATCGACTGTGTACTATCCTGGAAAAATCCGAATCTCTGCACACACACACACGTAGTGTTGCCTTGTCTTCGTCGTCCTGTGGCACGTTGTGGATCATTGATTTTCTGTCACCGCAATGGACGCAGAGCAGAGTCCATATATATACCTGACTACACTACTATACACAGCCTTCGGAGGAGGGTTTATTCTAAGAACCAGTGCACATGCTTTTTTTTGCGTTGATGTTGTTGTCTCTCTGCCTCGCTGTATCCTTGCTGCGCGATGGAGAAATAAAAAGGAAGAAAATGGACGTGCGATGGCTAAGAAAAATAGATTTATCTATCGTCACCTCGTCACCTTCCTGTGCGGGTGCTCCTTGTCGTATTTTTAGTCCTCTTTGTTTTATATTCTTTTTTTTTTTGGGCGATTGCGTTAGACGTACGTTGTGATATTGACGGTGTGCACGGCTCGCGACGATTTAACACGATTAATATGAAAATATTTCAGTATCATCCAAGTATTTACTTCTTAATCGACGAAGAAAATCTAATTCTTCTAGAACTATTTCTAAACTTTTATATCTACCGAGTTGAACTTAACTTGGGGTTGGCGACGCGACATCTACATTCGATGAGCTAACTACAAAGCATATACATTGTACCGTATGTAAGGTGATTTAACGCAACAAGCTAAAGTCATGCACTGAGAGAAAAAATTAATGCCAAACAGAATGTCATGTACCACGGCCATTCTCGGACTGGGTTCATAAAATTATTCAGGTCATAAGTTAGACAAATTTTATATCTTCAATAATCACTCATACTATTGCAATGTATGTTTATAGTTCACTCATCGACTGTAGATGTCGCGCCGCCAACCCCCAAGCGGTCAAGCTCAATTTGGTAGATATAAAAGATCGTTATTGTATTTAAAAATTTAACCGCCAATTTCATTTTCTGGACGTTATGATTTCAACGTTATCTTTCATAACGAAAAGATTTCAAGCTTTTTACGTTAAATTAGCTTTTACAATAAAAGTTTCTTCGTGCATTAGGTCCACTACATAATACGAATACTAAATTCGATGACATTAATAGTATAAAGTCATTTAATCTAAGTACGGTTCAATCGATTGCTTTTTATACGACAGCACGTATGCACATGGAATAAGAGTGAAAAGCTCGACGGCCCGACGCGATTAAAAGATGAGCCCATTGTCTTTGATGAATAATTCTCTATTCGCGGCATCCGATCAATCGGATAAGCAGCAGCAGCAGGCACGCCGCAAGTCGTATACATATTTCATCGCAGCCCAGGCTGAAATTAAAGTCTCGATTCGCGCGTTCAATACCAAATCCACCATTC